TAAAAAGCTTCTGCACAGCCAAGAACACAGTAAGTAAAGCAAGCAGACAGCCCTCAGAATGGGAGAAGATATTTGCAGGTTATATCTCCGACAAAAGTCTAATAACCAGAATCCACAGAGAACACAAATGTATTAGCAAGAAAAGAACAAGTGATTCCCGTCTCAGTATGGGCAAGGGACTTGAAGAGAAACTTCTCTGAAGAAGACAGAAGCATGGCCTACAGACACATGAAAAAATGCTCATCATCCTTAATAATCAGAGAAATGCAAATCAAACTACTTTGAGATATCATCTAACTCCAGTAAGATTAGCCCACATCACAAAATCCCCAAACCAGAGATGTAGGCGTGGATGTGGAGAAAAGAGAACACTTCTACATTGCTGATGGGAATGCAAACTAATATGTTCCTTTTGGAAAGATGTTTGGAGGACACTTAGAGATCTAAAAATAGACCTACCATTCGATCCTACAATTCCTCTAACTAGGTATATATCCAGAAGACCAAAAATCACGTTATAATAAAGATATATGTACCAGAATGTTTACTGCAGCCCAATTCATAATTGCTAAGTCATGGAAGAAGCCCAAGTGCCCATCGACCCATGAATGGATCAATAAATTGTGGTATATGTACACCATGGAATACTATGCAGCCTTAAAGAAAGATGGAGACTCTACCTCTTACATGTTTACATGGATGGGGCTGGAACATATTCTTCTTAGCAAAGTATCTTAGGAATGGAAGAAAAAGTACCAATGTACTCAGTCTTACTATGAAACCAATTTATAGCTTTCTTTTGAAAACTATAACCCAATTATAGCCCAAGAAGAAGGGGAAAAGGGAGAGGGAGGGGAGGGACGAGTATGGGTGGAGGGAAAGTAGTTGGTGGGACCACACCTAGGGTGCATCTTACAAGGGTACATGTGAAATTTACTAGGTGTAGAATATAAATGTCTAAACACAATAACTAAGAAAATGCCGTGAAGACAATGTTGACCAGTTTGATGAAAGCATGTCAAATTTTATATAAAACCAGCACATTGTATACCATGATTGCTTTAATGTACACAGCTATGATTTAATAAATGAAGGAAAAAAAAAGAAAAATGTGACCACATTTCTCAGGAATTCCATTTCTATATCCAGACCAGTGCATTGGACATCTGAATATTTTGCATAGTAGTGTATTCTACTTCAACAGCAACTGTAGGTGGCTTAAACTTCCTCATTTCCTGATCCATGGGTTGAACGTGCTCCCCTACACCCTTGGTGTTTGCACATCTTGTAGCACAGAGATGGTAACTATCACCTATAGCTGGGTTAAAGCACCCTTAGCTATCACCTGAACCCTGAGGAGAGAATAATTAATGCTACAGTGGTAGTCTCATTGTCACTTCTATGCTAATTAAAAGCTTATGATATGATCAGGATGCAGACTTTAATATGAAATTCTAACTCCTCATAAACTCTCAGATTGAACATAATGTAAAGATCTCTGAGCTTACAGGCTATTTCCTCTAGTCTGCTCTGTCCAGGATCAAGAGACAGAAATAAATAGACTGTTGACAAATAACATAGGCATTGAATAGTGGAGCCTCCAGTCCCTCAAAAAGTCAACTGAAAGTTCTCTTAAATATTTCCCTGCTTATCTGCCACATGGCTCTGAGGAAGTTCTGCATTAAGGACCTACAGCTGTTCCCTGCCTTGCTTTGGGACACCTTTTCTCTTCCCCAATGCTGTGCCCATTCATCTGAGCCTCGACTTTTCTGGTTAGAAAGCCAGATGGATACATGTCCCTGGCATGCTTCTTGAGTAAGTGTGCCTACATTTTAGGGGAGGATTCCAGGAACCACTAATCTACCCCTGGGAGAAGGTGCACACACTCATGCTTTCTCTTTCCTTCCCTCCTTGGTCATCAGTAGATTCCTAATGCCTGGTGATGGCATCCAAAATCAGAACAGTCTTCCCCAAGAAGGGCACATGGTCTCAGTTTTAAGCTTATGAATTCCCTTGCTAGAGAGTATCCTGGTCAGATAGGAGGTTGGGTAGGTGCCTCAGAAGATACCTGTAGTCAAGAAGACGTTCCATGAGGCGGGTGACAGAGGTCACAAAGGAAATACCGGTTTCACGCCATGTTTCTTGTTCAACTTTCTCCAGCAGGCTATTGGTAGAGGGGTAGAGGAAGCAAACACAATTCATGAGCCTTCCCTGGGCACAAGAGTGAGGTCCATGAGCCCATGGGGGCTGTGGTGGATCTGGAGACGGCAGACTTACCACACTGCAGTCTTACCTGGGGTAGGGCCCAAACAGCTGGGTTCTACTCCATGCAGCAGAAAGCAAAGACAAGGAGGTTATTGAACTGACAGCAACAAGTGAACACGTATCATTTTCCAGTGTAAGTTCCTAAGGATGCCACCAAGATAGAGTTAAGAAAGGGGTTCAAGGCCCCAGGCACCTTCGGTATATACTGTGCAGTTTATTCTGAAGGAGCAGCTGAATAAGAGCCCAGTGTAGGGTAAGCCTAGCTTTGCCCATTATCTGACTGCCTCTATCACTGCCCAAAGTTATTCTCAGCAAACATAAAGATGGCTCTCTTCACATAATCCAAGGGAAGGATTCCCCACTGTCCTCACAGGCCCAGCATGAGGGATAGTGAGCAAGTCTAGGAGCTACAGTTGGCCATCCCTACTGTCAGAGGATGCTCCTAAGAAAAATTTCTCAGATCTGAGAGCTAGATGCCTAGGCTCTTTTCTGACTTGATAGCTTCATGCTTCTGGTATCTCAGGGCAGCCTTTGGCTTCTACAAAAAGCCTGGCTTCTGAGATCCTTTGCTATTCCATAGGTGTTTTCTAGGATGACTTGCTTCAGTAATCACCATAGATCCAATTGTTAACCATGTAACTCTATTCCTGATTACTTTCAACACTGTCTCTTGCTCTCTAATATCATGAGAGTCATCTGGAGTGGCAGGCTCAGCTGGGAGCCCAGTACTGGGGACTCATTCCCACAGCCTGGCTGCTGTTAATGAGATTGTTATGATGACTGTCTCCCTGCACTGACTGAGCATCCTGTCTAGGCTGGGCTTCTGGGAAAGTGAGGGTTTCCCATTTAACCTATGTTGTTAGAGAATAAAGACAAGACTGTTGACTCCAACTTCTGAGCCCTGTGGATAAAGTCAAACTGCGTTCTACAGAACTCTCTGTTCTGGAGAACAGGGAAGGTGACCACATAAATGTGGGAAATGTTGATTACTACATCCTTCTTCTAAAGATTTTTCATATCTTTTTTTTTTTTTGATATGGGGGTCTTGCTATGTTTCCCATGTTGGTCTGAAACTCTTGGGCTGAAGCAATTCTCCTGCCTTAGCTTCTGAAGTAGCTGGGATTACAGGAGTGCGCTATTACTCTTATTCTTTTGTACCTTACAGGCTTTGGGAAGTCCTAGAGTAAAGAAGTGTATTGAATTTTGTTTAATTGAATCTTTCCTAAACTAAATTAGCCCATGATTTACATTTTTCACCATATCTGCAAGTATCTTCCCAAAATACAAATTGGGAAATGCTGTTCCATGTTATCAGCTGCTTAGTTTTCAGACTGATTTTAAAAGAGTTTATGAACACTTTCTGGTCAGGCAATTAATAATTGTGGATTATTTCTATACTTTTTATTTTGTAGCAAAGTCACTTGTGAGTATACAAGGAAGAGATTTCTCTGCCTTGTTTCCACAATTATAAATATCTTCAGCTAAAAGAGAAATATTAAAGGATGAATTCATTTTCAAAAATTATAATTACTTACATTTAAAATAAATTCACATTTTCTCTCATGACTCATCAAGAAATAAAACAGGCATGGTATAGCAGAAGGATTCCCCTCACTTGAAACTGGAAGATTTGAGTCCTTCTTCCAGAGCTGCCTCTTTCTGGCCATGCAACTGAGGGCAGGCTAGCACTTCCCTGAGCCCAGATGCATCACCTTTAAAGTGGGAAGGAGGATAATTTTTCTTCTACCCACCTTGAAAGTATGTTGTGAGGATCAAATAAGAAGTATTAATACATTTTGCATACTGTAAAGCTAAAGAAAATTTACAGTATTATGACTGGAAAAATACATTAGAAGTTTGTCTTCAAATGGTACCCAAACAAAGAAAATCTCAAAACTGGAAATGATAAGATGGGGTGGATCCTATAGAGATGCAAATGTCTCAAAATTTCATTTTTTTTTTGGAAAGATAAACTAGCAACATCACTATCTACCTGGGAGGGCCATAGTTCCCCAGAGTCCTTCCTTAGGTATCTTGGCCTCCATCAACTTAAGATAGAAGCCATGGAATAGTGGTCCCAAAAAGAACCCTGATGTTATTAAGGACAACCACCTCATTTCAAAAACAGAAGACTGGCCTGAAGAGGAAGGTGTGACTTGTTCAGGAGCCCATTGCAGTATTTTTCAAGCTGACTATATCATGTTACAAAGCAGGGCAAATAGGAGTCCCTCTTTCAGAGGAGAATTTATTATCCCTCTCCCTGCTAGAAATGCCAGCATTGAGTCCTTAACTGATTGAGTCCCTGAGAACTATTTGCCCAACAGGATGCAGTACTTGCTATGAAAACAGATGATGATCCTTTTCCTTGTCAACAAATCTAGGAGCTCAGAGTTATCACCCGTCTCTACCTCTTCAGTCAACTATGGTGATCCCTGAAAGTGCTCGCTTTCTTGTTGACAGAAGGTGAGCACTGCTACCACCAGGAGCAACTGGAGTCTTTCTTGATAACTAATCTCTGAAGCTTGTCCAGTAGAGTTATAACTTCTGCCCTTCAATGGCCTCTTTCACCCTCTCCTCCAATATGAGGTGCCTGGGGTTGGAGCAGCTTACAGCAGGCTGAAGAGTTCCCTGTAGCTCTCATCGCCTTTTCCTTCCGACACCATGCTGTCCAGTTTGTCAATGAGCTCAGCCTCCACCTACAAGGGAACAGAGACTTCATGAATTTGAGCCAACCTCAGAAGAAGAATGGGAAGTCCCGTCCCTGCAATAGATGTGGATGGCGAGAAATTGTTTCCTGATGTTGTCCTTGCTCCAAATAAATCCCAGAGAAGGTAGGATCTTATTTAGAACACCAAGAAACCACTCTACCTCCTCCAATCAGGAAGGTCTCCCACCCTGGAGGGTTAAATAAGAGGTGGGACTTAAAAGTCTTAGGTACTCGTTTCTCAATCTAACAGTCTTGCTTGTTGTCTAGCCTGGTCTCAAACTCCTGGGCTCAAGATATCCTCCCTATTTGTCACTCTTTCCACTTTAATTTCTTTTCTTTTGTTCTTCAGTATCTGGCTGAGAATGTAAGAGTTCAGACTAGAAGATGAATATAAACCATGAGTCAGGGCAAAATGAAGATATGTCAGCACAGATTCTCCTCTTTCCTTTCTGATTTTGATAGCTCTGGGCCCTGGCTGGTGAGGGCAGTTGGGATTCTAGTAAAAAAAAAACCTCAAGGGCTGAACTAGCTAAGGGGCTAGAAAGATGAATGTTTTATTTGCTACCTTGCTAAGAATGGTTGGTTTGTAAACCTTCCAGAAGGCAAGATAAGTGCCTGTGAGTTTGTGAAACTCCCTACACAAGCAGTCCCCACTTCAGCCTCACCTTCCACATAAGCCCACTACATCTTACTGTCTTTACAATGGAAGCTATCCTCCATGTCTGTTTGGTTCCCAACTCCCTTTTCTGGTTCATTCATTTATCCATCCAAAACATTTGAATGCTTCCTAAGATCGTTACTGTTTCTCCATCATTTTGTATGGGAAGCCTAGATTTGGCAATCTTTCCCAAGCTCCATCCCCTTTCTTCTTTTAATTGCTCTTTTATTATTTAATTTTTTCAGGGGATTTGACCCAAATTGGCTCCTCTGGAATCCATTTTCCCTCAGCCTTGCAAAGGTGAGGAGAGGGCAAAAGCCAAGGGTTCCCTGGAGACAAAAGTCTTTTTTTTTTTTTTTAATTTCAGATTGATATGATGGTAGATGTTTTTAGGTCACATGGCTTGTGTTTGTAAGGCAGTGGTTCTCAACCTGTGGGTCATGACCCCTTTGGGCTGTATTAAAGGGTTGCGGCATTAGGAAGGTTGAGAACCGCTAAGGTAAAGTCTGAGATGTAGTTGTGTCCTTCACCCAGGAAATGTGCCATATATCTGTGTGTTGTGCCCATTAGGTGGAAACTTACTGATCCCATTCCCTCTCCCCTTCTTGAATTTGAGTTTTTCTCTCAAGTGTATCTGTAGTTATTAATCTATTAGTTTCAACTTAGTATTGAGTATATGGGATACTTGATTTTCCATTCTTGTGATGCTTAGGATAATGTTCTCCAAATCCTTCTAGGTAAATATGAAAGATACAAAGTCTCCATTTTTTTACAGCTGAATAGTATTCCACTGTATACATATACCACAGTTTATTAATCCACTTACGGGTTGATGGGCACTTGGGTTTCAGCCACATCCTTGTGATTGTAAAGTGACCTGCTATTATGCAAGGTGAAAATATCCTTATGGCAAGATGTCTTTTTTTTTCTTTTGAGTAAATACCCAGTAATAGGACTGAAGGATCAAAAGGAAGGTCAACTTTTAGTTCTTTGAGGAGTCTCCATGCTTCCTTCCACAGAGACTGTACTAGTTTGCAGTCCCACCAACAGTGCATGAATGTTCCCCTTTCCATGCCCATGCCAGCATCTGCAGCTTTGGGACCTTGTGATGGGGACCATTCTCACTGGGATTAGGTGATATCTCAGAATGATTTTTCTTTGATGATTACAGATGATGAGCATTTTTTCCATGTTATTGGCCATTCATCTGTCCTTATGAGAAAAGATTCTGGTCGTGTCTCTTGCCCACTTATTGATGGGGTTTTTTGCTTTTTACTTGTTGATTTGCTTGAGTTCTTTGTAGCTTCTGGTTATTAGCCCTTGGTCCCTTTGTTTGATTCATAACATAAACATTTTATTCCATTCTGAAGGTTGTCTTATTGCTTTGTTGACTGTGTCCTTAGCTGTGCAGACTTTTGTAACTTGATTAGGTCCGATTTCTTTATTTTTGTTATTGCTGCCATTGCCAATAGGGTATTTTTCATAAATTCTTTTCATAAGTCCATAAGATCCAGAGTCATTCTTATGCTTTCTTCTGGAGTTTCTGTAGTTTCATGAAATAGATTTAGATCCTTTATCCATTGTGAGTTAATTTTTGTAAGCGGTAAGAGGTGCAAGTCTAGTTTCAGTCTTTTACATGTGGCTAACCAGTTCTCCCAGCATCATTTATTGAATAGGGATTCTTTTCCCTAGTGTATGCTTTTGTTTGCCTTGTTGAAGATCAGAAGGCTATATGAAGTTGGTTTCATATCAAGGTTCTTCATTCTGTTTCATGGATATATGTCCCTATTTTTGTGCCAGTATAGACTTGTAGTATAACCTGAAGTCTGGTAATACGATGACTCCATATTTGTTCTTATTTTGGAGAATTACACTGACTATTTTGGATTTTTTCTGGTTTCATACGTCACAAAGAACAATTTTTTCAAGATCTTCAACGTATGACATTGGTATTTTAATGGGGATTGCATTAAATCTGTAAATTGCTTTAGATAGTATAGACATTTTAACAATGTTGATTTTTCTTAGCCTATGAGCATGGTATGTTTTCCATCTGTTAACATCCTCTGCTATTTCTTTTCTCAGTGTTTCATTATTCTCTCTGTAGAGATCCTTTGCATACTTTGTTAAGTGTATTCCAAGGTATTTAATTTTCTTTGTGCATATTGTATCCTTGATTTGATTCTAAGCTTGACTATTGTTGGTATATATGAAGACTACTGACTTGTGGACATTTTTATATTCTGAAATGTTACTGCATTTCTTTGTCACTTCCAGGAGTCTCATGGTTGAGTCCTTGGGATTTTCTAAGTATAAGATCATATCATCAGCAAAGAATAATAGTTTGACCTCCTCTGTCCTCATGTGGATTCCTTTCATCTCCTCCTCTTGTCTGATTGCATTGGCTAGGACTTCCAGCACTATGTTGAATAGCAGTGGTCATAGTGGGCATCCTTGTCTGGTTCTAGTTCTAAGTGAGAATGTTTTCAGTTGAGAATGCTTTCAGTCTTTCTCTGTTCAATATGATATTGACTGTGGGTTTGTCATAGGTGGCTTCAGTCAGTTTAAGAAATGTCCCATCTATGCCAATTTTCTTAGTGTTATTATCAAAAAAGAGAAAAATATTTTGGATCCAAAAGAGGCCTTTGTCAAGTGTTTTCCTTTCTTTAAATAAACTCATTCAAAATAATCTGTATGTAAAGTAAACATTTGGTTAGAACTACACACTCTAGTCAGCTAGTCAAAAGGGAAGGGAATTTGCCGGGGAGTTTGTCCTCACTCTAATGGCTAGTATGAGTTGGGGTTGAATAAGATTGGAGTGTTTCCTTTAGAGATTCTTCTTGAAGACAATAGGCTCTTGTACTCAATACTGATATGAAGCCAGTAGACAAACTAATGCATGCCATATAAGAGAAAATCTCTATTCAAGTTGGGGGCAGTGGGGAGGAGGGAGGAAGGGAGAGAGGAGGAGGGACTGTGTGCTCCCACATTATGGGCACAATGTAAGGGAAATGGCGTACCTCCTAGGTGTGGGACACAACTATAATGTGACTTTAGCTAGAAAATGAAAACATTGTAACTTAATTGTTTGTGTCCTCATATTAACCTGAAAAAAAAAAGATAATAGACTGCACAGTTTGTACCCATTGAACCTAAAGATCTGAGGGCTGCTGTTCTTGCCACCACCCCATCACTAAACCCTCTGCATTTATTATTGGATACCGAATTCTTGAGGAACAATACTACATTTCTTCCTACCCTATGCCTTTTGCAGCAACTTGGATTGAAGTGGATACTGTTGTTTGGATTTCATATTTTTTGATTAGAGCACAATTCAGCCACTTTTCATTTTCCTTTCTTTCTTTTCTTATTTTTTTGAGACAGAGTCTTAAGGGTAGAGTGGGTAGAGTCCCCTGGGTAGAGTGCCGTGGCATCACAGCTCACAGCAACCTCCAACTCCTGGGTTCAAGTGAGTCTCCTGCCTCAGCCTCCCAAGTAGCTGGGACTACAGGTGCCTACCACAATACCCAGCTATTTTTTGGTTGCAGCCATCATTGTTGTTTGGCAGGCCCAGGCTGGATTTTAACCTGCCACTTTAGGTGTATGTGGCTGGTGCCTTAGCCAATTGAAGCACAGGTGCTGATCCATTCCTTTCTTTCTTTTTTTTTTTTTTTTAAATGAACCCAGGAGGCAGTGCCTGTGGCTCAGTGAGTAGGGCGCCGGCCCCATATACCGAGGGTGGTGGGTTCAAACCCAGCCTGGGCCAAACTACAACAAAAAAATAGCTGGGCATTGTGGTGGATGCCTGTAGTTTCAGCTACTCAGGAGGCTGAGGCAAGAGAATCACTTAAGCCCAGGAGTTGGAGGGTGCTGAGCTGCGATGCCATGGCACTCTACCGAGGGCGATAAAGTAAGACTCTGTCTCCACAAAAAAAAAAAAAAAAAAAAAGAACCCCAGCACTGTGAACATATCAACCACTTTTCTAGTAGGCCTCACTGGACTTACCCCGAGGTGAGAAATTAGTTGTGATGTGTGATAAAATCTTTTTAACCTTTCATGAATCTTTAAAATGCGGTATTATGGTATTATTTATATAGACATTTAAAGTAAACAAAATAAAATTCAGCATGGCTGCATTTGATATTGTGCTAAAAAGAAACCTTTTCTCATTCTACACAGGGACAAAGAATCCTAAGACAAAGAAGCAATAACAGAATAACTGAATTAGTAAATTTGTAAATTTGTTGAAGGCAATTAGGGCCTCTGATGTTCCAGCAGCAGAAAATGAGAATGGATGAATAAATACAGCTTTTATAATAGTGGTCTGCTA